TTTGATCCCAATTTGAATTTTTCTTATTACGCTATAGTCTATAAACTTTTTAGAGAGTTACTCTTAAGTCTTAAATTTTCTAATTTTATGTATTTTGGTCCCTTTTACACAAATAGTAAAAATCATGTAAAATTTAGTAAAATTGCATTTAACTCATGTAAATATTAATAAAATTAAGGCTAAAATAATAAACTAAAATATTAAAAATTCACCTAATGAGAGTGAAAAATTAAGTTTTTGATACCCAATTTAGGATCCTTAAAAATCAAGAAATGATATTTAATTAACTTTCGACATACACATATAACATAATTCACATTATTAAAAAAAAAAAGAAAAAAAAGAAGAAAAGAGCAACAATATGATAAAAAGAAAAGGTAAAGGTAAAAAGGAGATACTTCTTTTCCTGGTTATGCACTTAAAACCAAAGAAACAAAACCTAAAGTTTTTATTAGTCCACAATGTTCACATGACCATATATACCCTACACTCACAATTCATATACATATCCTTTGCAATTTCATTATTTTGATTGTAACACTTCATAGAATTCCTAATTGGGTATTAAAGACTTTTTAAAGATGAATGAGTGTTAAACACTTGATTTTCCACCTTAATAATATGAATTTTATATATTGTAATTTATTTATTTAAGCTTGATTTGGTTGATATTTGAATGAATTGCATGTGATTTTAATGGAAGTTCTATGATTTTTATTAGTTGTGCAAAAAAAGATTGGAATGCATGAAATTATAAAACAGATTTTTCTAATTTGTGTTCTTGCGTAGAAATTAAGAGTATATTAATTATCCTTTTTATAATCGGAAATTTTTATAAAAAAATGTAAAAGTAAATATTATTTATAACATCAATATCACATGAAAGATTTTAATTGGATGATTGATAAAATTGAAGTCTGAAGGTCAAAGTGGATAGGAACTAAAATTTCAAGGATTGACAATGGAGTAAAGGTTCAAATAAGGATGTCAACTTTATATTTTTTTTTATTATTTAAAGATATTAACCTTGTTAATTTTTAATTAAGAATACTAATTCTAAACTCTTTCCATTTAATAATTTTAATTTTCAATTTTTTTATTTAAGGATACTAACTTTCACTTTTTTATAGAAAAAATTAAAATTTGACATTTTTATTTAGAAATTAACAAAATTAACATTTTTAAATAAAAAAGAATATAAAATTAATTTCCTTATTTGCACATTTTCTCATCAATAATGTATTTTACCATAAATTTTAGAAGTTTTTAAAGGAAGTAGGAATGAAGTTATGAAGCGTGGTAACGGAGGGATGATGATTTCCACTTTTTAAAGTTGAGGGATTTTCATTAATTCTTTTAAGGTAGAAGGATGACAATGACTCTTTTTGTAAAATTGAGGTATTTTTAGGGACATTAAACAAAGGATAAATATGAAATTTTTATCAATAAATTATTATATCTTTATTTTATTAGAAAAAAAACTAGAGTTGCTAAATTTGTAATGAGGGAATAACTAATTAATTACCCTTTTTCAAAAAAAAAAAAAATCCAATAGTACTTTTTTAGATTGATATATGAAAATAATTCTGAAATAATTTTTTCATATAATTTTATATATAATTTAAATGATTGATTTTTATATTTATTTAGGACCCATAACATTGAATGTATCAATTTATTTAATAATACGTTAAAATTGTATTAAAAAATTATATAAAAAAAAGTTATCTCTATATACTATTTATATAATGTGAAATGTGTAGATTAAAAAAAACGCAGAATATTTAAAGATGCATAAGAAACTTCTCAAGGGCATATCATTATTGGAATCTCCTTTTACAAAAATATATATTCCAATATTATTCACCCAAGTAATCCCCTCCAGTAATTCTTGAGAAATTAATTTAAAAGGAGGGAAAAGTCAGAAATAACAAGGGTGTATTTTATTAAAGACAACTTCTCTAACGAAGTTTTTACTAGAAAAGGAATTAGAAAAATATTGTATGAAAAATTAGAAAATATTGTATGAAAAGTTGTTAAGTTTTATAATAAAATTTTGTTATAATTTTGTTAGGATGTTAACTTTGGTTTTTTTTTTTTTTTTGTGTGTGAGAAATTGATATAAGAAAATATAAAGAAAATTAGTAGGACAAGTTATTATGTAGTTTTCAAATGAACAACTTAATTTAATAAATTATCTATTAATTATTGACATTTTTAAAATTTAGTCTAAAATTTTTATTTTTTTCAAAGTTGTCTGTTAACTTTTAAAGTTGTATTAATTTTGTTTACCTAATATAATTTTGTTAGATAGATTGACGAAAATCCGTATCATCACCAACATGGTGTTGCGTAAGCTGAAGCTACCATGTAAACAATAAATGGCCTTAAAACAAAGGAAAAATCTCTGCCTATTGGTTTCCCTAACCTTATTAACTACAAATAATTAAATTATAATTTAATCTAATTAAAAAAAATTCAGTTAAAATAATAATAAAAATATTCAGGCTGTGTGTTGCTTATGTACGCAGCATAACATAAGCGATAATATGAATTTTTATCAATCAATTTTACTAATAAAATTGTATAAGGTAAATGAAATTAATATAATTTTAAAAGTTAATAAATATTTTTGAAAGAAAATAAAAATTTAAATTAAAA